AAAAAAAAAAAAAAATAAGTAGTTTCCTTTAATTTTACTGTTTTACGAATTTAGAAATTTCATTGAACAGACTGGCAACAGGAAAAGAATTTAAATTTTGCTTGGTAAACTTCTTATCTGATTCGGTATTATCCTCCTGACAAAACTCTAAGTTATAATGCATGGTTCATTTAATATTTATTGAGCACTTACAAGCCAGGTACTTTTCTAACTACCAGGAAAACAGCACAAAACAGAAAAAATATTTGCCCCTGTGGAGCTCACAATGGGTCTCCTGCACTAACCACAAAGTTAATAATGGTCAAAAGTTTGTATTACTCTGTTCTGACATGAATTTCTGACACAAAAGTAAAAGCAAGTATAATTAAATAGAAATGGATTTGAATTTAAGACGAATCTCTAAAATTTGTTTGATTCTAACATATCCTTTCAAGTGGCAATATAACAATTATGAGTATGGGCTTGGGAATTAACTATCTGGCTCTATCACTATATTAGCTGTGTTAGTATTGGGCAAGTTATCTGACATCTCAGTGTCTTACTTTTTAAATCTGTAAAACTAGGGTTAACAATATCCCTACCTCATAGGTTGCTTCTGAGATTAAATGGGTTAAAATGCCTATAGATAGTGCCTGGTCAATGGTAAACTATTATTCACTATTACTAAATGGCTAGAAAATAAAATATTAAGCTCTAATATTTTTCTCTCATTTTAAAAATTCCAAATGCCTATGAAAAAAATTGATTACTAAACTCACTGAAAAGTTCATAATCTGATTCTGTTTTTCTAATGACATGAGATGCTTGAACTTTTGTGGTCAGGCTTAATAATAAGAATACATCAACTTAGTAAACATGTAGGTTAGAACCAGTTAACTATGTTTAATGGGACCTCAAGAGATAAGACAGGGCAAATAATTTAAATGTTTTGTTAAGAATCCTTAATCTTATTTTCCCCTGATACGCAACCTCAAATCCCCAACTAGAAATTTTCAACCTTTGCTATAAAATGTTAAGGTCCTCACAGGTGGGAAGTTAATTGCTGAGAACATACTTAGGGATAAGTAACAGATGGCAGTAGTCACTAGTTACATAACAATTTTTCAAGAGTTATTGATCATCGTAATTGATTTTATTGGAAATTCAATCCTAATCTTTAGCAAATAAGGCTTTTTTTTTTTTTTTTTTTTTTAAAAGAGAGTCAAATGGATTAAGGTTATTTACTGGATAAGAGCAGAAAGTATAAGAGAAGAAAATTACATCAATACACTGAAAAATGTAATTCAAAGGTATTCATTACTGAAGTAAAACTTACTGAAATCACACAGTCGGCCACTGGTTTCTTCAAAGCATTTTCTGAAGTCTCTTTAAGCTTGGCTAACAGCATTCCAGTAACTTGCTCGATTGCAAAAGGTCTCTCTTCTTCTAAGTACCGCACCTAACACCAAAAGTTGGGATATTTATTAAGAGTCATTTGTTTATCCAACAAATATTTAGTGAGCATCTACTCTATATGTGATAGACATACAATATGAAAAAGACACCTTTCCTCACCCTTGCTCAAGGAAGTTTTATCCCAGAAAGACTATCATTTTAGAATCATGATCTCATAAAAAACAGTGACCCTGTCATTTCTGAGGTTGCAGTACCTTACACACAGTATTATAACCAAGCAGAGTATTTTCAAAAGTGTAGTCTCTACCCTCTCAGATCCCCACTTCCCACAAAAACAATTTTTTATCATTCATTTTCCAAGTGTGACACAGCAAACAATGAAAAGGAAAATATCAAATAATCTTTCTTTTGAAAGTCAGAACTCTCCCTGGGTTTAAAATGAAAGCTTCAGTCATACAGTTTTGGGAAAAGTAAATGAGAACATCACTCTTTCAAGCAGCACAGTGTGTTTATGTATATGAGTATGTTAAATATGTGTATCTAATGACTTAAGATTTACTTTGAATCAGACCTAAAATTGATAAGCATTTGTTTCCAAACCTATTTACAAGAAAAATAAAAAAACAAGTATTATGCCAAATTACTACCATTAAATCAGGGGAGCAGAGAGAAATCAAGCACACAGAAATAAGGGAAAATGAATCAGTCTTATTCTGACTATCAGAGGCATGATCATACAGTATTCTTTAGTATAAGAACATTCTAAAAGTTTAATGAAATAAAATATATTTAAATAAATGTATAAAAAATAAATGGATAACATGCTTGAGGAGTTAAACATTGATTTTCTTAAGTCTTCAAAAGATGACACATTTCAACACAGGACCGACTGATGTTTCAAAGCCCTTTCTACTAGCTTACAGGCACTTACTATGAATGTATAAAAATTCTATTACTCAGAACTTTGGTTTTGCCTTTCTAAAACGTTATTCTATTTTTCTCAGCCTATTCCCAAATCCTGATCTATTAATTTTCACTTTAAGAAGTTAAACTACTTATAAAATTAAGTAGTTCAAATCTTAAACTGGAGTACAATAAATTGCTCTAGGTAACTATTAACCAGAGCTTATCATATCTAAAAGATACCTGAATTTTATTTTTTATCTCAGTTGTGACTATCATAACCCATCCAGTTTCTCACTTTAGTAACCTGAAAATTTCACCTAAAATATGGCTTCATAATTTGTTCCTGGTCTTTAACTTCTCATGGTGTCTTCCTCAACTATTTTAACAGCCTCTGGTCTCCTTACTACAATTAATCAACCAGCTTTTATTCAGAACCCTCTTCTAAAAATGGAATTGTGTACACATCCATAACACATGTATCAAGTCTAAAATTAGTTACTAAAACAGCTTAAGAGATAATTTGCACAGCATTAAGTTTGTCCTTCTGAAGTGTACAGCTCAGTGTATTCACAAAGTTGTGCACTGGTCATCTTCACCCAAAAAGAAATCCTTTACCCATTAGCAGTCATTCTCTATTTTTCCTTCCCTTAACCCTTAGCAACCACTAATCTGACTTTGTTTCTATGAATTTGTCCTACTTTGGATATTCTATATAAAAGGAATCATACAGTATGTGGCCTTTTGTATCTGGCTTCTTTCACCTGGCATGTTTTCAAGGTTGATACATGTTGTAGCACGTATCAGTACTCCGTTCCTTTTTATGGGCAAATAATATTCTATGTGGTAAGATACACCACATTTTGTATACCTACTCATCAGTTGACAGACACTTGTATGGTTTCCACTTTTTGGCTATTATGAATAATGCTTATATGAACACTCATGTACAAGGTTTTGTGTGTACATATGTTTCAATTCTCTTGGATATAAGCCCAGGAATGGAATTTCTGGACCACACAGTAGCTCCATGTGTTCTGAGGCTAGCTTTTGAAAAAATAAACACAAACATGTTTTGGTTAACTAATCTATAACTATGTCAGAATGTAAAATTAAAAATCCAGAATCCATTTCTTACTTGGAAGAAACGTAGAAAAGTATGCTTTAATATTTATAATATGTTATAAGATTCTTCTAAATTAGAACTCATTAAACTCATTATAGCGATTAACATACTTTTTGGGTCCATTCTTCTGAATCCTATATACCTTCATCTTTATTCCCTAAAAACTATTCTCTTATTTGAGTCTCCAAATAATAACCATTTTTTTCCTTGACAGTAAAAGTATGAATTGAATTAAAAAATTATATAAATTAGATTTCCTGGCATTCACTAAAATTATCACAAAAATGACTCTCTCATGAGTGTGTAGGTACTGTATCTAGGGGAAAAAGGTCAAACTACAAATAGCAATATTATCATATTGGGTTTCCCTTATTTGAAGATAGGTTTGTTATCCTGGGAATATAAAGCTTACCTTAACTCCTGCACTTCCATTAGGCATCTTCTGCAGTTCATAGGGAAGCCTGATCCTTTCAGTTTGCACAATGGGATCATCAAATGACCGCCCATGAAGCTTTTTGAAGCCATGAATTGTATTTCTTACATTTGTGACTATCTGTTGGCAGTAAACACTTGTATTTATCAGTTACCTACTAAATGCAAAATAAAATACTATCCCAATACTTGACAACCACCAACTTCCTTTATCCTACATATCCAAGTTTAGGATTACACATAATCATTCATTTTTTCTGGTTTCCAACTAACTGATGGTAAAGTCATACAATGTGAATGTACACATCTTAACACTTGCCTCCCAAATTCTCCACCTATTCTGGGAATGTCAGATTCAAAATTAATGTCTTCAGAAGAGAAAGAACAAACTTTTATAAAGTTTTAAATAATAAATAGCTACAACTCATCTTTTGGTTTTCCTCAGTGCTTTTGCTCTAGTGAATTAGTACAGGTTGAGCATTCCAAATCCAAAAATCTGAAATCTAAATACTTCAATGAGGATTTCCTTTGCGGATCATGTTGGCACTTAAAAACTTTCAGATTTTGGAGCATTTTGGATTTCAAGATTTGGGATGGTCAACCTGCATCATGCAAATATTCCAAAATTTGAAAAAATGTGAAATCTGAATACTTCTGGTCCCAAGCATTTCTTACAAGGGATATGCAACCTGTATCTTTGATTGCTTATTTATTTCCACTTGCATTTCTGTGTTTTAACTTAAATTGGTTTTTTATTGTCTAGTTTTTCTTTTCCTATCCATATCTAATTCTTTGTGAAAATCTTCATGTAATAGTTAGCATTTTGCTTCCACTGCTGAGGATCACTCCTAGGCTAGTAAATTAAAATGCTTTCCATGTAGTATAGTGCTAAGTGAAAGTGTCTTAATTTGTAAATGGCTTACATTTTTGCAAAACAGTTTTTTCTTTAACTAGGATATGTGACTCAAATTCCAGGATATTACTGAGATCCAGTTGCTGAACTCCTAGTGACCTTTAAAGCAAAATAGACCTCGATCTTCAATTATGAGATGAAAACTACAGGGATGCTGAATTACTATGTTGTTCTCTTTAGTTCCTTAGGAGAAATGACTTTATAGGTTGCTTTTAGAGACTCTGATTATCTATGATACACTTAGAAGGTCAGCCAGCATATGAGATATAAGACCCAGATATACATAAAATGCAGTAAGTAATTGTTAAGGGTTTTTGGTTCATGGAAGTAATCAAAGTTCAAAGAAAATGTATCTATAACATGAAATGTTAAAAGTAAATGTTCTAATCATAAGCATTTCAAAAGCCTAAAAATATAAATACTTCAACAAATTCTATGTAAATTAGTTGTAGCCATGTTGAGTTACTCTGGAAATTAGTTCTTTCATTTTTTTCCCCCACCCTATTTTACAAACATGTTACTTACCTGTCATTGAAATGTATGTTCCAGATAGAATATCCCTCATTATTCCCTAGATGGTCACTTGAGGGACCATTCAGGGAAAAACTGATGTCACATGGTAGCACACCCTAACTTCACAACTAAAAAAATATTAAAAAATAAAATAAAATTCAAGAAATATTTTACTACCCAAAGCAAATTATATCTAATTAAAAAAAAACAAAGATGTTAGGACCTTTCCTATTTTCCTCACTCTCTTATTCATTCTTACCAACGTAACATTGGAACTTGGTTATTCAGTTAATTCTTTTGTAAGTCAAAACATACAAATTAACAATTTACCTGGCTCTTTGCTGCATTTCCAATGGCTCGGGTTCTTGATCCCAATGATATACAGGCCCTAAACCAGAAAAATAAAAAGTTTGTTCCAAGGTGCTTTTATATTATTGTGCTACTGTTTTTCTTCTCGTTATACAAAAATGAATTTAAAAGGAGTAATATAACCATACATTATTTTAAAATAGGCTATGGAAATAAAAAATTTATTTTAAAGCTTCTCTATATAATAAAATGGTGGTCAAAATAAATATTACATTTTATTTGTTTGTTTGTTTTAAATGTTACACTTTAAACAAATGTCCTAATAGTTGGCAATACAATATTAATCTCCAAAATTGATGTTTAAATTATATTGATCTATGACCCATTAAAAGAAAACCCAACTGTGTCAACCAATGGATTTTCAGGGAAGTTAAACAGTAAGATCACTTAGTCAATTAACAGGCTGCTTAAATTCAAATCTTGGATTTGCCACTTAATTTTCTGGAAATTACATAACCATTATGTGCTTTGGCTTCTTGTCTGGAAGACAGTGATAATATCTGCTCATACAGTTGTGTGAGAATTAAGAGAATGGATAGAGGTAAATGCTTTGAACAATAATTGGCATATAGTAAACATTATGTAAATTACTGCATTTTAACTACCACATCAAAATGTAATAGAATAGAATAATAATATAGAGCAAGCACAGAATAACATCTTCATCAAAATATCATTTCATGTTATAGTTCAAGAAAATGTTTCTGTGATTTCAGTTATAAAGACTGAAAACTACATTCAGTCAACAAATATTTTATAGGCACTCCATGTATACAAGCTACAATACTTGTCCTTGGAGAATGTATAGTTAATTGAAAAAAAAATCAATAGAATATATAGGATTATGAATAGTAGTAGCAAAGAAGAGAATAATCACTTCTAGATAACACAGGCAATTTCTTGAATTAAGACTTGAAAGGAGAGAAAACATTTAATATCTATTTGTCTTACGGAAAAAGACATTCCTGATATATAGGTATATAAGTCTGTTCTCCACATAGTAGCCAAAGTAATCCACTTAAAAACTAAGATCATGAAACTCTGATGCTCTCTGATCATGAAATAATCCTCCACTGGTGCCCTATCTCACAAAGTAAAAGCTTGGGTCCCATAACAGTTAATAAAGCCCTTCATGGTCCGGTCCTTGGCTGTTCTACCCTGCAAATTCAATCTAGGCACACTGGTCTCCTTGCTATTTCTAGAATATGCCAAGCACCCTTTTGCTTCAAGGCCTTTGTTAATGCTGTTCTTTCTTTTTGAAGTGTTCAGAAAATACATCCGTATGGCTGGTGCTCTTACTTCTTTCGGTTCTCTGCTCAAATGTCAGCTTATTGGAAATATCTATCCTCACCATCCTATAAAAACAACATTCCTGCTCCTCCTCAACACATACCTCATACTGTTTACTCAATTTTATTTTTCTCCATAGTATGTATCATCATCTGATACAATTCATTTAGTGACTGTATTTCCATACCAGAAGCCAGAAAGTGAATTCCATGAGAAGAAGGTAACACATATCACTTCCTTGATCTGCAGTATCTAGTAGGCAGCCCCTAGCCATGTGAGGCTAGTACAATTTAAATTAACTAGAATATTCGGTTTCTCAGGACTAGTCACATTTCAGGTGCTTAATAGCCACATGTAGCTGGCAGATATACAGACAAATGAATATACACAGAACAAACACACAAGAGAAAGTTCTACTGGAGAGCACTAGCCTAGATATTCTAGCCTAGATCTTTTTCTAGGACATAAAAAAGGTACTTAATGAGTGAAATGATGGCTCCTAAGAGTAATGCTTATTTGAGGACTAGAAGAATATAATTTGGACTCAGCCAGGGTGAAAACAAAAAGAATACAACTTGACTAGTTTCATAGGATAATTTGATAAGACAGTATCAAGGCCAGATTATATAGGGTCTCAGGTGCCAGATTTGAATCTTAAAATTTATTGAGTAGGTAATGAGGATTCATTAAAGGTTTCTGAATAATGGAGAAGACCCTGCATACTAATATATAATACAAACTGGAGAGGCAATATTCCAGAGCAGTGCGTTCCAAAAGCTGAACAAAACACTCTGCTGGGGACTACTGGGTTTTCAGGGAAAGCAAACAGTTAAAAAGTTCATTTAGTCAATTTAACAGATATTTGTTAATAATTACTATATGCCTGGCACACTGTTAGTTGCTAAGAATATAATAAAGAAAAAAGATATGGTTTTGGCTCTCTTGAATCTCACAATGCTATAGACTCATACAAAATAAACTATGTGCTACAACATACAACGGCAGGTGAGCACGGTGCTATAATAGTTTTTAACAGCAGGAATTAACCTAGAGGAAGAGGGTCAGGAAAGGCTTACCTGAGGAAATAAGATTTTAAGGAAGAATAAATGATGATAGCATAGAAGTGGTAAAGAGTTTGTTGGAGTTCATATTGACTACAGTGTTAACTGATGAGAGGAGAGCAAAAAGTTACCAGTAATTTATATTCGGATGGTGACAGCTGAGACAAGAAGAAAACAGAGTTATTTAGGAGGAAACTCAAAGGACTGGGTGATACACTAGATCTTTACCATCCCATAGAGTAGCCACTAGCCACCAGCCATATGCGGTTATTATGCACATGAAATGTGGCTAGTCTGAATTAACATGTGCTTATATAAAGTATAAAATTAACTCTAGATTATGGGTTTCCAAACCTTTGAATGCAAGGACGTTTTTGCTTGTCTGTGATGGCAGATATCACAAAAATTTTGCATAGACCTTTTCTCCAACACATCAGTTATCTTTAGCGTTAAGTGTATTTTATGTGTGGCCCAAGACAATTCTTTCTATGGGGCTCAGGGAAGCCAAATGGTTGGACCTCTGTGCTCTAGATTCTGAAAATTTAATACCAAAAAAATGCAATACTTCAATTTAAAAGTACTGATTATACATTGAGATAAAATTTTAAATATGCTGAATTAAACAGTAAAATTAGTCTCACTTGCTTCATTTTGCCTTTTTAATATAAATATTAGAATTTTTTTTTTTTTTAAAGACAGGGTCTTGCTTTGTCACCCATACTGGAGTGCAGTGGCCAGATCTTGGCTCACTGCAGCCTTGACCTGCAGGACTCAAGCGATCCTCCTATCTTAGCCTCCTCAGCAGCTGGGACTATTGGCTAATCTTTAAAATTCTTCGTAGAGATGGGGTTTCACCATGTTGCCCAGGCTAGTCTCAAACTCCTAGGCTCAAGTGATCCACCTGCCCTGGTTGGACTCACAAAGTACTGGGATTACAGGTGTGAGCCACTGTACCTGGCTCTATTAAAGCAGTAGGAAGAGGCAAGAGACAAGAATAATCTCTGTTTCTAGTTTGCATAAGAGGGTCAATGATGATGGCACTCAATAAGACAGAAAATGTTTTAAGATAGGTTTGAGGATAGGACAGTCACAAACTCTATTTTGAACATGTTAGTTTGAGGTATCTTTGAGGTGTCCAAGCAAATACATATTTAGAACTGAAATGTTAAAAGTGATGGTCAGATTAAAGAGGAAATGGAAGTTACAGTTCTTTAGTTGTGATTTGGTGAAAAACAGGAAAATAAGGGTATCGCAGGAATCGTGTGGCTTAAATGACATCTTCACAACTCTTATAAATAACTCCCTGATTCAACATATTCTCTGCCAGAGTAAAAATTTACATATCCAATATGGTAATGTGTGGATCGTTGGCATGCCATCCTAAAACTCATATATTAGAGAAATCACAGGTTTGCCATTTCTCAGCCTACCTTATATCCCATCTTGCTCCCAACTCCATTATTTGGACACACTTCCAAATACTTCTAATTTTTCAATAGTAGGCTATCATCACTTTGACTACACTGAAGATATTATTCATAGGTTGATTCTCAAAAGTTTAATTTTTGTTGGAACAGTAGAGCCAAACAAGATTCAGGTTCAACTATCATTAAGCACTAGGTTCCTTGGAATATGTTTCATACATATATCACTTCACAAAGGCTAAACAGTTACCATTATCAGACATTCTCTGAAGTTAAAAGAAGGCAACTTGTAAAGTGAAAAAATCTGTCATTTAACCAGGTTTGGAAACACCCAGTTTCAAACACATAGAAATCCCACTTCAAAAAGGCACTTCTTCAAACTCCTTCGATTTTCTTTCAAAAAGATTCCAGGATGTTACAACCATTAAATAAAAAAAATACCTGCCAAGTGCTTTCAGAAAAATCCAAATAAATTAAACACCTATTTGCTCTCAATACTTTTACATTAGTTACAACAAGGGAACTAGACACATTATAACACAGCTTAGGCTGATGCAAGAGTTTTCACAGAAAAAGATACAGTTTATCCAAGGGTATACAGAATAACCTACATTATACTTTGTATTATTTCAACGACTGTATTTAGAAATGTCATTTTATGGCTAAAAAAAAGGAGGGTTTTCAAAGCAGCTTAAATCTGTAATACCCACCTGCTCTTGCTATTGTGTGGTAATCTCACATTATCAGAAAACACCACAATATTCTAAACAAAAAAGATTTCTAATATCCTATGTTCATTTTAGTAGGAGAGGGGAATAAAAATTGATGACAAGATGTTACTTTAAGAAAGCTGTATTTGTATTTTCCCCTTAAAATTTAGAATTTTCTTCCTCTCTCATAAAGCTTGTTTTTATAAGGCCAAGAATAATTATGTTGGAGAAAATACATACTACCAGAAAAGATTTGTTGCCTAAGAGCTCAGCACTCTGTATTTGTTTGCTCCTTATCAATCTCCATTAAGGATTCAATCCTCACTCTTTAAGCTTTAAAAACAGCCCCCTTCTTCCCCTTGCTAGTTCCATAAAATCACAGTTACTATCTTTAGCCTCTGATATCACTGTAATCCATAGGTTTAGATCAAGGGCTGAGCAACTAGTTTCAATTATCCTTGCCAGTGTCTATAGAGCAGGATTTCTCTACCTTGGCAATGCTGACATCTTGGCTCAGATAATTCTTCGTTGGGA